TTGAGTTCCAACTCTATCATGCATCAGCATTACAATGGTGTGGCAACTACGAACTAAGTTGTATGTGACCAAATGCTGCCAGTAGTTAAAGTAGCATCACAACATACACAATATTGCAATACAGCTGTCCTGTAATCAATAGATGTATTATAGTGAAATAAAGATTTCATAAGCCATGTAAAACCCACAGGGAAATCTCATTTCAAGATCTTGGCTTTGGCCACTTATTGCTACATTAAGCTTTCTCCCCTAAATTAATGCTAAACGAATCAAGTTTCCACTGATTCGGACCCACTAAAAGAAAATATAAAAGCTAGCAGGAGCTATGTGACCACATTATTCAACTTCAGGGGAGATTGCAGTAGAACAATCTCTATCCTAGAGTCTCTGAATGGGGCAGACTGAACATGTAGGTGCCTTGGTGGGATATGGAAGTGAATTCAAGCAGAGCCCCCCACACACACGCAGTGCATGGGTTAAATACTTGCTACATCTTAGGTAGAGGAATAGGCTGTAATACTTACCTTATTTCCCACTCCATCAGGCTTCCACTACCCAGAAGCCTCTTCTCTTCAGCACTTCACCCCCAACCTGGAGCATCGGAGAGAAGAGGAAAGTACTGGAACCTGCCAGATCTATTAATAAGCTAGGTATTACAGATTTTTCTGCTACCCCTAGCAGTTAACCCTTGCACTGCTGGGGAGCTCCGGTGCAAAGGTATTTTTTGCAAAAAGCCTGAAGTTTAGTTTAAAGCAAGACTGAGCTCGGGGTCAACCAAGGGTGATATCCAGCCAGGTGTAGATTGTGGTAGAGAGTGAGACAGTTAGTGCAGTTGGTTGCCATTGACAGGGTAACCAGAAACAAACACCCAGACTAGATCAAGGGAAACGAAGCAGGTTTTGGGCCAAGTGGTATGTTAGCAAAGTCAGGACAAAAGAAGACACAAGCTTAAGTCAGTTTGAAGCACAAGAGTTGCACACACGCACTAAAAACTCTATATTAGGCAGCTTGAATATGGTACAATTTTAAAGGTATATGGACCAATCAGAATGGATGCTAATGCAGGCTGACATGCAGACTCTTTGACACCCCTCAGGTGGACAGGACACTAAATCTGTAAGTTAAAGTGACATTAAACCCTCAGATTTTTTAACATAAAACAATACTGTAATGTGTGCCTTACTGTAATCCATGGTTGTTTCCCTTCTCTTTGCTGCTCTTCCTTTTAAATCTGTTCTCATGCTGGGCAGAACTTCTGTTTTGCAGCAGACTGCCTTGTCTCAGAAATGGATACTCGGTGTCTGTGTATATGTTTGTATAGGCTTGTAACCTGAGCCAGCACTACAGGAAGAGGCCCTGAGCTGAAAAGGGAATTTCTCCCCAAGCATGAGAAGACATGATGATTTAAAAGGAAGAGCAGCAAATAGAAGGGAAACAACCATGGATTACAGTAAGGCACACATTACAGAATTGGTTTATGTTAAAAAATCTGAGGGTTTAATGTCACTTTAAATGCTGATTGAGGCATGTGGGCTCTGGAGTCTGCACTGTGGGAAGACCCATCGGAGGGAACCAACAGGCATTGTGCACTAGAGTGATTAGGTGCAGAGGGAGCTGAGATTGAAGGGTCCACAGAATGAGTCAATGAAAACCGGGCACACCTTGGATAAACACCAACTGGCCTGCTATATTAGTGACCCATGTTCTTAGTTTAGACTCTAAAAATAATATTATACTGTATGTCTTGCATGGACAGTCATTTTTAATAATTGTAGCATGCCCTAGATATATAGTATACAACCTAAATAGCATTTTTATGTTCCCATGTAAACAAGTAGTATATGGAAAGTAAATCAGTGAATTTTTAGAAAATGTTTAGGCTTAGCAATTCAGTGAACTCTACACTGGCATATGTTTATAAAGCAGTGACTCTGACATTCACCAAGCATTCACTGTAGGTAAATATTCCTGGGGCATGCGTTTTCAATGATAGTGATTTATATACCACTGGTGAATATCTGGTGAAAGCCACATTTACTGCTTTTAAATATGCCCCTTTCCCTTGCATTGTACACAAATGCAAAGGTAAAATCTAATCATGAGTTACATTTTCTAGGTAATGAGCAATTTCCAGGCTGTTAAGTGTATTCCTAAAAAAACATCAGATTCACATTTTGCAGTTGAGATAACTGTAAGAACATGACTGTGGGTAGTTTCCACTCAGCAAAAATAATCTAATATGCTGGCCTTTTCCTAGAAGCAGCAAGATTTTGAGACCCAACAGTAGTAGCTGAGGCAGTGCAATAAAATTACGAGCATTTCAAAACACTAGTACAACTAGTACATAGTACGACTTGACATTGTAGGTATAATGATGAGAAGTTAACACAGCATCACATTTATAATACACTTATTTACATTATATGAGCTTAATGAAGTGTGTTATAACTGTAATGGTAAAATCAAAAAGATTTTGTCATGTAGATAGAAAACGAGGACATTTTGGTGTTACTAAACAGCAGTTTATACTTTCAGGTAATAGTGACAAACCCATTTTGAGGGAGTTAGGATCTTTAGCTGCTCCAAAGCCTCTGGTGATTTTTTTTTTTTCTGGAGCCAAGAATGTTGGACAACTTGTGGGAAGAATGGCTATCATATGGCCTCACCCATACCTGAATGGGTTCACTTTTTGACTGTCAGTGGAAAACACACTGAAGATTAATAGGCTGATTTATGCTTGGGAATGGATATGTGCTCTCCATTATACACTACTACTGTAGGTTATGCCTACCACATGTGGAGCTCATGGGTTTATCTCTGCTTCATTCATAAATGGAGGAGAGCTGGTCATTTGACTTTGGTAGGTTCTGTAACCGCTCTTCTCCCGACTTTTTTTTTTTTCTGCTGTCATTCATTTTTATTGAGCACCTGAAGTTAGCCTTGCACATTTGTAATGCACACCACTGTGCTTTATAAATGAGTGATAGTTTTTTAACGTGGCCATACTGCTGCTCTTAATTGGACCCCTATGTATTTAGTTCCTAGTCTCTGATTACTTCCTTATATTCATTATACTTCTGCCCTTTCACATCTCTGTGAACTATTGCCTGCTCCCTTATGTTTATAAATTCTGTACAGATCTATAAATTTGAAGTTATTGCCTAGATTATGAGCTGTTTTAAAATGGTATAGCCACCCGAGTCTCTCTTATGTCTGGCAGGTTACTAGCACAGAGAAAATTTGCAGTCCCAGCATCTATAAATCACTGAGCTGTGTAAACAAACCACTGAGATAAAACGTGAGGACAAAGGGTATAGGTAAATCACTTACATATTATTATATTGTGTTTCATGAGCTTCATGGATGTGAAGCTTTCACGGAAGAAGACCATGGCTAGAAATGGAGCAGATTAATCCAAAGCTACACCACTGAACTGAAATGTTACCTTATGAACATTGCGAGTCTGGAAATATTGCAAATATTTTTGCAATATTTTTTATTGCGATATACAGACCACTGTTTGAAATCTTTATGAAACTGAAAGTACAGCAACCACACTTATAACACTGTACACATTGTCATTATTTTGTAAGGCATATTCAAGATGGGGAGCAAATTCCTGAAGCAACAGAAATTTTGTAACTTGATATAACAAGCAGGGTCAACAAGTGGAATATGTCCCTTTACTCTTCTATGTAGAAAAGCGAAGGAGAAGAAGCACCACTAGTATGTGTCCTTCCGGATGGGCAGATATCTGCCTGCCAGTGGTTGATTGGGAGACACTGGCCGATCCCTGGTCTCCTTTACAGGGTTTTTTTTCTCTTTTCTTTTATTTAATTGGAATGACAGAACCAGAAAAAAACTTTGCTTTTTTTATGCAGGTGCCTAGATAAATACATGCATTTAAACTATGGTATGCCAATAGAATGATTTAGTTGCACCAATTAAAGATCAGTAAATGCTTACCTATTCTCACACCAGCTAACATAAGCATATAATGGCTTAAACAGATGATGAAACTGAAGAGGACAAAAACCAAATTTGAAATACTGTATAACTAGGGGAAATGTGGTTAAAGAGCCAATACCACCACCTAGAACACAACTGTTGTATAACTTAAACTATTTGTAGCAGGAACCTGAGTAGTGAAATACATTTAATAATATCAGGTTATACTTAAGAAAGTTGAATACGTATTGTGAGATTTGGGTAACTATCGCTGGAAAGAATCATAGTATATTAGAATTTACCAGTTCCTTTCCTTTAATCTAGGACATGCATATAAAATGATTATATAGCAGTGATTATTTAGTATGTCACCAAAACATGTGCAAGAAAATTACATTGAGAAGAAATAAAGTTATATTACCGATACCATAACCATTACTTTCACCTGCACTGCCTTTACTATTGCTACATATACTGCTAGCAATGGTACTTCCAATACTATAATCTGTGCACATGGACAAAATGAATGGATTCACTAAAGGATTGCAGAATGTTTATTGAATATTCACTTAGTTTTATGGATTAGGAAAAGCTTAGTTTGTTTCAGTCATTCCGGCGTGCAAGAAAAAAATCCTGGTTTTAATTTCCCTTTCACATGTGTGGGTTTTCAAAGTAGACATAGCTTCACCATATTTGAAAAACTAGGGGAACTTTTACTTTGCAAAGGGAAAATTATTTACTTTAGTAAATCAACCCCAGTGCAGGAAGAGTCAGTTTAATTTTTTTTTTTGTTCACCAAGCTTTCAAGAAAAAAATCATATACAAAACCAGATGTAAGAAAGTATAGCCATGGTACCACTGCACACTTTCTGGCGATTACATGCTGTCTATTGCTCGGTCACTAGTTTTTGAGTTTGCCTTTAAGTCACAGAATAACAAAATGTAGCTCCTAGGGGAGCTCATATGAGCTTCATATGGTTTTTAGAATCCACATAAATTACATTCCTTGGTGTCAGATAAAATCGAGAATAAAATAAATACCGTAAACTTACTGAAAAAGAAGCCTCTGTCTCCACAAACAAACTGCAGAGCATCCACTAACTCAGCACCACAGAGGGTTTCTTGGCCAGCAGCTGCTGATTGGGTTAGAGTGAGTAGACATAAGCCCAAGTAAAAGAGATGCATGTAGGTCATTGTGTGCATCCTAACCTGTCAAAGAAGCACAAACAATTAATATTAATCTTGCATAGACTGTAAACTAAAAAAAAAAAACAGGACATGCGCATGGATCTTGGCACACATAATGCTGTTTAATATAATTAATGTTTGACTGATCTGCCCTTCTAACATCTGAGTGGTGTCTCCTTGGGCTCTTACAAAATTTCGAAATCACCAATGGTGTCTGACAGACCAGAATTTATGTAGCTCATAATGTATGATGCCACACAGTTGGATATGTCAAAGTATTTGGCACCCACCTTTATCTGATAACCTGTTACCTTTCTGTGCTAGGTGTATGAATGCTGGCTCTGATTACCTGAATATGAATGATCATCTAAAATGCAAATCTTCTATACAAAGTATGTTACCATTATTACAATTAGTCTTCCATTAGCTAACCATACATAAACCAATTAGTGCATGTTTCGCTATATCATGCTAAGTATCAATCTGTTTATGGTGGCCTCCACTCTGCACACAATGGAGAACAACAAGTATACTACAGTTATATGGGACAGAATAACCCCACAGCTTGATCTCTTAGGCCTGGTTCACACCTGTACGTTTTGTAGCGCGTTCAACGCTCTACAAACGCTCTACAAAACGCTCAAACATGAAAATCCCATTGTTTTCTATGGGTATGGTTCACACCTTGCAGTATTTCAGCCCGTCTGAACGCGCTACAAAACGGCCTACGCCTAAAAGGGACATGAGCTTCTTTGCGGCGTTTTTGTCTTGCGTTTCCATTGGGATACAGCCAAGTAGCCCTCGTAAACGCACGCTTGTCGCATGGTTTTTTACAGTGAATCGCGGTAAAAACGCGCGTCCAGAAACGCGCGACAAACGCGCATATTCAATACGCCTAGGTGTGAACAGAGCCAGTACTATCATGTGTGGCATTAACATTTGCATTTCCTGGCTTTTTGAATAGCTTAAGAATAAAACATCCCTTATATGCCCAAGCCTGCAATATTTTAGAGTGTGGTACTAAACACAAATGTTTAACTTTCAATATAAATCTGGTGTCATGAGGTTATCTTTTGTGCAGCTCATTAGTTTTTAATTATCTATTCTGAAATTGGTTGTGCTAGATGATAAAATTTAAGTGACTTCTAGAAAATGATGGAGAGATTTATAATTGTCTTATGTCAATATCTGCTTTACAGCTAAGGTCACAAGTGTTAAAATATTTAAACCAACTGCCTTTTATTGCATGCTTAATGAATAATGCTTTAAAGAATGTCCATCCTGAATTTCTGTGCGCCTCTTGATGCGTAAAGCGCAGCATGAATACCCAACCATGAAACGTGTAAAACTCATCAACCTTTTTTTGTTTTCATATGGCCATAGTTTTTTTATCTTCACCACTGAGAGGCTGGTTTCCCTACATTTGCTAACTTGGTTAAAACTGAACTTCAGACAGATTTAAAAGATACACATTCCCATATTCATGAATACATTAGTAAGTTTTTTTTAAAAATGTAAGCAGTGTAGGTACCTGAATTTGACTTGGTATCAGTCTCTTGCAGTTCCTGTACAGAAGAGCTTAGAAAAGTAGAGAGAGAAGCATCATAAAGAGCCAATAGGTTTAATGTGTTGAGAAGAAGCATGCTGATAGGAGAGAGCAGAGTGACAGCGTTTAGCTTATCAGACTGCTGCTTCTCCCTTACTGCCCAGAAACAAGCAGACGGAGGGACAAGACCTGTAAGCCTTGCCTAAATGCAGTACAGCAAAAAAATCCGGTCTCCTGCCTTGTGTGACAGATATGTACTATGTAGTAGATCTGTGTAAGTCTTAGGACTAGATTGACAATAATACAAATCCTTTGACAAGGGAAACAGCTCTCTTATATGTCCACGTTAAGGACACAACCGCAATCTGAATAAATCTTCCCCATATTCAAAGGTTCATTTACAATCACCATAACACATTGTGATTTGTGATTGTGATTGTGATACAATGTGTTATGGTGAAACCACTTACGCGTTTCACCATCACAGCTTAGTCATAGAGGCTCTCTAATATGTATTAAATCTGTGTTTACCTGGAGTTTATCTTTACTTTGCAAAATTAAAGCTGCAAATTACTTTGTGGAGTCAGCTTCCTGTGTTACATATAACTGTATCCTATTCTGTTTCAGTCTGGTCCAGGTGCATAACAAGTACAGATGTAGTCTAAAGTATCCATGCACTGCCAAATATTTAATCAATAAGTTGATTATTTAAATTAATTTCACCCATTGTACCACTTCAGCTGCTTTATAACAATGCATAATAAATAAGATTGGAAAATATAATCCCTAAAATGGTGATTTGCAGATCTTCTGATGGCCAATCACATGATCAACGCTGCGGTATTGGTCATATGGTTTACACCAAATGGCCTTTGCAGAGTTGGCCAATCTATGATTCCATTTAGCAGTTACCAAGTCACTAATGGCTAGACATCAGTAATGCTTTCAGTAGCTGACGGGGGTACCTTTATTTAATTACTATATATTGTTATAGTGCAGCAGAATTGGTTAGATAAACTTATACTATAGATTAGCTTTGAAGTGAACTTGTGGTTTGACTTCACAGGGAAAAGCAACAAACTCACTTTAACTTAGACCTCCCTAGCAGCATATACTTACCTTCCCTTCACTCTTTTTCTGCCACAAGTCTACGGACTACACATGGAGCAGTGCTGATTCGCCCATCACTGTCACATGGAGTGAGTTACATGAATGGGCAAAGGACAGGTTCACTTTTAATAATTCTAGAATCTGCAAGGGTATTAATTAAAGACTACATACAAGAAAACGAACAATTCTGGGAAAAAGAGTTATAGCAACAAACAAAAACCAAAAAGAAATCTTGGTAGTTTTACATCTAAGTTGAGAGAGTTTAAAAAATGCTGAGGATGCTGACCACAGCCTTTGTAGAGCTTAAACAACATACACTGAACAGTGTATTGCAAGTTCTGGTTAAAAAAGGGTCACAGAAGGGCCTGACTGCTTGCAATCAAGCAAATAGAATGTCTTGTTTTGCCAGAAAAAGCATAGGGGAGAAAGCTAAATACCCCTTTATGACCTGGATATCTTGTTTAATAAAACAAATGTTGTTGTACTACTTTATAGTAATTTAAAGTTTGTAGGCTTTGCTAGAGCAGTACTAATATTTGTAATTTAGTACATGTCGCATACACTTCTGGTCAAAAGTTTTAGAATATTCCCATTTTTCCAGTTTTTATTGAAATGTAAGCAGTTGAAGTCCAGTGAATAACCTGAAATGGTACAAATGTAAGCAGTAAACTGCCAGAGGTAAAAAAAGAAGCTTAGGTTAAGAAAAAGTGGAAAACATTGTACATTTCAGAGTTATACAATAATGCCTTTTTCAGGGAACTCACAGCTGTTCTGCAGCAATGTAAGTAAATTATGCCCTCAACGTTTATGCTAACAATTCCTACAGGTGCCCCAACTTTTGTTGATTACTCACAAGCCCTCTGTTTGTATAAAAGCAGTGTTGGAACAGACTGTTACTACACCCTCTTAAGCAATATTTGGACAGTGTTGTACTGCAGGAAGTAGCATATTGCTCTCAAAATGATGAGAAAAAGGCAATTAACAAAGGAAGACAAACAGACCATTATAACCCTGTGTAGATCTTTCCTTTAGAGAAATGCCAAAGAAAGCCAAAGTGTCAGTAAGTACAGTTTCCTTGAAAAGTGGAAGAAACTCTGACAGGAAGGGACCTGGCAGACCCAAAACCACAAGAGAATCAGAAGACAAGTTTCTGAGAGTCAGCAGCTTGGGTGGCAGGCAGCTCAGAGGACAACAGCTTCAAACACAGCTTAACACTGATTGAAGTAAGCAAGTCACAGTTTCAACTGTGAAGAGAAGACTTCGAGCTGCAGGTTTGACAGATCGAGTGGCAGAAGAAAGCCATTACTAAGATGGTAAAATAAGAAAAAGAGGTTTGCCTGAGCCACAAAGTATCACCAGTGGACTACTTAAAACTGGAAGAAGGTTATGGATCAATGACCCCAAATTTGAGATCTTTGGTTCATCACTCAGGGTTTTTGTATGCTGTCAAGTAGGGAAAAGGATAATTCCTTGGTGTGTGATACCAACTGTCAAACATGGAGAAGGAAGCGTAATGTCTGGGGCTCTTTTTCTGCATCCAAGTTGGCGACTTTTACAGAGTGAGTGGCACCCTGAACCAAAGCTATTACCACAGCATTTTGCAGCCACATGCAATACCCTCTGGTGTACACCTGGTTGATCTACCTTAGAAGAAAAGAACAACACGGTAGGCTTCAAATCGTGGAATGGCCATCACAGTCTCCAGACCCCACCACATCGAACTGGTTTGGGGCGAACTGGAAAGAAGGGTGAAAGCAAAGCAACCTTCAAGTGCAACAAATTTGTGGGAACTTCTGCAACAGTTTTGGGGAGAATTTTCCGAACAATATTTTATTTCTGTTGTAGAAAGAATATCAAAAGTGGTTTCGGCTGCTATATGTGCACAAGGTGGCAGCTTTGATTAGTCAAAACTTGAATAACATTTTGTTAAAGAAAATGTTTCCATGATTTCTTTTGGATGTCCAATTGTTCATTTGTTCTATGCTTTATTTTCAGAATACATTGAAACATTAAACTGCATAAATTTCAATACAAACTGGAAAAATTGAGGTGTTCTAAAACTTTTGACCGCTAGTCTATACTGTATAGTATGAGTGCACAAAGAAATAAATTATGTGTTACTCTATAACTGTCATT